TTGTGTTGATCCAAGCATTCAAGCATTGGATAATTTAGGAAACAATACAATAAAACGCTAACTTGACCTTTTCTTTACAAAAATACTTTTAGTAGAACATATTCAATATTACTAATTGGAATTAATAATATAATAGAGTAGACAGGATATATATAGTCAAGAAAAACTGGTTTAAACCAGAGACAATAAAATCAAGGGTGGAGTCAATAAACATAAAGGGAGGACTAAAACTCTTTAAAGCGAATATATCTAAAAATAAATAAAAAATTTAAATCAGGCATCTAACTAGTTTATGAATTAAATTCATTTCACTTGTCTTACCTCAAGTAATTATTTATATTAATTTATGTACTCTAAAAACGCATCAAAAGGTTCTACTCACTCTCCTTTTTTTTTACCACAATAATTTTAATTTCCTCAATAAATCAGGTTCTCCTTTCCAAATCATTTTCCAATGACCAATTTTGATAAAAATTGACCTTTCTATTCTATTTTCTAGGTTCTCAATTGTTATATTAGAATAATTGAACATACAAGTTCAAAATATTCTTTATAATCAGATACTATATTGACTTGGAATATTTTCTTTTTTTAGGAAAATATCTAAGACATATTGATCTTAACTATAAAAGCATTTTTATCCCTGAACTTTTTGTGCTTCAGAACCTATAAAAATGATGTGAAATTGTGATTATTCACTTGACATATGGAGTTTTATGAATTAAGTATTATATAATTAGAAAGTAGATTAGTTAGAAAGACAGAAAGTTATAATTATTACTCAGTAAGGAGACATTATATAAAATCCAAATTCACGTTATAAAAATCTGATCCAAACGTTGATTTCTTAAGGTAGTTAAGTGGTTCAATAATAAAATTTAAGAGATTTAATTGAAAATTGGAGGAAAAGAAAATAATGATGATTCCATTATAATCTTAAGTCCACTCCTTTAATATATTTTGATTTGTAACTGATAGATTTAAGCCTAATTTAATTAGTTAAAGTGATTAATAAATTAAATAATTGACATCATTTATTATAAAGAGGGGAAAAAAAGAAATGAAATTAATATGAAGAATTCTTAGTAATTAAATTAATTTTTTTTCTTATGTTAAATTTCAAAATATTTAACTTTTAAATTATGGATAGTTGAATCCCAATAATGTAAGATATATTTTTACATATTATAGTTTCAATGCATCAAATTTTTGAACACGTGATTAAAATTTAGAGAAATGGATTTATGACCCTTTAGCTTGTACCCTTTTGATATTAAATAAAGGAATAGTCTTGTGTAATTCTTGTACTTATTATGCAAACATTAAAGATTGGTCTATTTTGACAGTGCCAACTCTGCTTGAATTGTATTTTTTACAGGATGATGCAGCACTGTAGTAATAGATTTCTCATTCTGATTTTAAGTGTTTCAACTGTATTTTGGTAGTCGATGTGATGAACCAAGTACTAAACTTTGTCATATATTGTTCTGGATCATGGCAATCCTATGCTTTTATAAGCATACTTAATCGTAACACTTCTTTTAATTTTCATAATATCATTTTTGGTCACGCTTAATAAAGGGAAAAGGAAATAGCGAGTCATAAAATATCCATAACTACAACATTCGAGAGCTAATATAGATGCAATGGAGTTTTACAAAGAAGACATTTAGAAGATGCATGATTCAATGCTATATAGGCTATCTTACTGCAGATCTGTCTAGTACGTTTGAATGTAAACACCAAAATACCTCCTCAAATTCATGTACGCAAGAGACTCAAATTCAACATTTCTTACATAGCATTTATGACATCATGATGTCTTAAAGTAACTCTATTATCCTTGTAAGCCATTCTAAACCTCCTATTAAGAAAGCATTGTGCACTTCATACTACTGATGTATAAGACTTGGTGGGAGTGGTATATGTTACCATAAAAACAAATAAAGAAAAATCTTTGTCTTACATCAATGCTTTCTGCTGCTGAAAATCAAGATGCTACTGTCAAAATCTCTTTTTACAATAGTGGTACTAATGATCAAAATATCCTAGTGATGGCCACCAGTATTGCAATATCCTTTTAAATTCATATATTCTACATAAATAATTACAAAAGAAGTAACACAAGGATAGGATGGCATAAAGGAAGACTTTGGGCAAAGTACACTAGCATATGGGTTACCACATTCATTCCTGGTTACATTATGTTAACAGTACCCATCACAAGAAGAATACCGTGCTAGCACTTTCTTACATAGACTCAAAAATTGGCAATTAGCAATTTAGAAATCAAAAAATTTCATGTTAAATAATGTTTAAGGGGTTTTAACTGACTAATTTATGGAATTTACCTTCTATTATTCTTAAAAACTTAATGCATTTGTATTAAACTACACTCTTTAAAACTAGGAATGTCCTTAATGTATTAACACACTACACCCAGTTAAGCAAGAGATTAAATTCATTATGATGGCATTTTTATAACTAACTAAATGCAATACTCTTTGCTTGTACCCAGCAAATATTAGAGCATCATTTGGTTCTAGTTGGTAAAGAAAAACAAGAATACAAACAACAAAAGATTAGTTAAGGCTAATATGCTACAAACTCTAGAATTTTTGGGAGGCTAATTCATCATCCGAATATTTATACAATAAGGATGGGTGGATTTAATGAATCCCAAAGCATTTTAAACTTTAACAACATAANGTATAATTTATTTAAAAGATTGGTAATCGAATCGTCGTGTGAGTAATCTCAGATTCATTTTGAGTATTATGTATAACTTGAGTCTGAGTAGATTGAATTATTCCTTAATGGACTAAATTTGGCAAGCAATTCTATCAAGGTTGTAAATCAGAATAGCCCATTCTTATTTATAAATATTTTATAAATTTGTATTAAATTAAAATTAGGTAAGTGAAGTTATTAAGCTTAGACACGCTAAATAAAGAAAAAGGAAATAGTGAGTCATAAAATAACCATAACTACAACATTAGATAGCTAATATAGGTGCAATGGAGTTTTACATAGAAGACAATTAGAAGATGCATGTTTCAATGCTAATATGGGCTATCTTACTGCAGATCTGTCTAGTACGTTTGAATGTAAACACCAAAATACCTCCTCAAATTCATGTATTGATCATTTCAACTTTGCTGACTCTACGCAAGAGACTCAAATTCAACATTTCTTACATAGCATTTATGACATCATGATGTCTTAAAGTAACTCTATTATCCTTGTAAGCCATTCTAAACCTCCTATTAAGAAAGCATTGTGCACTTCATACTACTGATGTATAAGACTTGGTGGGAGTGGTATATGTTACCATAAAAACAAATAAAGAAAAATCTTTGTCTTACATCAATGCTTTCTGCTGCTGAAAATCAAGATGCTACTGTCAAAATCTCTTTTTACAATAGTGATACTAATGATCAAAATATCCTAGTAATAGCCACCAGTATTGCAATATCCTTTTAAATTCAGATACTCTACATAAATAATTACAAAGGAAGTAACACAAGGATAGGATGGCATAAAGGAAGACTTTGGGCAAAGTACACTAGCATATGGGTTACCACATTGATTCCTGGTTACATTATGTTAACAGTACCCATCACAAGAAGAAAACCGTGCTAATACTTGCTTACATAGACTCAAAAATTGGCAATTAGCAATTTAGAAATCAAAAAATTTCATGTTAAATAATGTTTAAGGGGTTTTAACTGACAAATTTATGGAATTTACCTTCTATTATTCTTTAAAACTTAGTACATTTGTATTAAACTACACTCTTTAAAACTAGGAATGTCCTTAATGTATTAACACTAGTTTTTTCAATAATATTTTATACTATATTTAGTATAAAATGGATGAGCAGCAGGTTACTGAAAAGATAGAAGTGCCAGGAGAACGAAAAACGAATAGCCAACATAAACAAATCAGATTTGGGCACAACTTACAGGGTGTCATATGTCATCTAGATTCAAGACTAATTCTCTATTATCACCATTACACCCAGTTAAGCAAGAGATTAAATTCATTATGATGGCATTTTTATAACTACCTAAATGCAATACTCTTTGCTTGTACTCAGCAAATATTAGAGCATCATTTGATTCTAGTTGGTAAAGAAAAACAAGAATACAAACAACAAAAGATTAGTTAAGGCGAATATGCTACAAACTCTAGAATTTTTGGGAGGCTAATTCATCATCTGAATATTTATACAATAAGGATGGGCGAATTTAATGAATCCAAAAGCATTTAAACTTTAATAATATAAAAAATTTGTTGCAAATGCTAAATGTGTTAATTGTGATATCATAATGTTGCCATAATGAATTCCAAATAGAACATGCTAATTGACATTTGAGAACACGAGATGTCATTATTGAGCAATGAAGTATCACAAGGAGAGTCATCTGAACATGAGGGGTTTGGGAAAAAAGAAGAGATTTATCATATCCATCACGAGTACTTCTAATAAACATTTTTGTTTGTAATGTCAACCATATACATATTAAGTAGTGGCTAAAATGAACAATGTTGGTTGTGCACCACACAAGAGCATTCATCTTTGTTAATTCTTTGATGCAACAATACGTATTTTTTCAGTTGCGTAATGTAAAATGATAAATGATGTACCAACTTATAGATTAATTATAACTATATGGAAAGAATTTAGAACAAAAGAATAACATTCTGTGGTTGTAAATATTTGTTAATTGAGAAACAAAGTACTTAAGTGACTTGAATGATAGAATTTCATTCTATGAATTAATTTTTCTTTTGAAATTTAAGTTATATTAATCAACACTTTTGTATGTTAACTTTAAACATTCTAATATATTATATCAAAATTATTAAAACATATAATTACATATGTATATTTTTAGAAAAATTTTGTTTCATTTGAAGTTATAGGATTGATCCCTTTTTAGATTTTACAAATCATTTAATAACACATTAAAATATTAAACATATTATAATGTGAATCATCTAAATATTTCATATAATATATATTCTTCTTTTACTTAATTATAGATTATTTGTGACACTGATTGATTCATCTTTGAAATATTAACTACTAATTCCGTATTGGACTTATCAGTATTTTTTAAAACCAATTCAAAGTTGATTTACTTTTTGTTTGGGTCACAGTAATGAGTCAGATGTAATGACTTTTGTATTACTGATTTCTTAAATTTATTGAAAGTGCTTCTGATTGATTGGCGCTATTCACAATTTATTTATGTCAATATTTAAATTTTATCAAATTCCTTATCAACAAATATATGATGTCCTACAATATTTGAAAAAATATAATCTCCTTATTAATAAGATATAATAATCTGTGCTTCCTTCTAAGGAACCTATTCAAATTATTTGATGGATAGCTTCTAAAACTAAAGGGGCGAGTAAGTTGTTTAAATTTATTACACTATTAAAAAAACACTGTTATGGCTTCCACCTCCTCCTAAATTATATTATCTATTATTAATACTTGGTTGAATGCTGTAACTGAATGAATTATTTGTTTGATTCTCTTGTATTGAACTCAAGAAATCAAAATTTTAGGTGTTGGTAAAGTTAAATCCATAAAAACAATTAGCAAGAGAATAATTGGATTCAAGTTTGTAATTTTCGCTTGTAAATTAATTAGAGAAGTAGGAATCATTTAATTTTTTAAAGGATCCATCTACTCCTAAAATGATTTGATATCCCAATTAGGTAACATTTTCATAATTACCTAAAATATCTACAGTCACAGAGGTTGTATTTAATTATAAAATCTAAATATCAATTTGAAAATACTTTGAGATAAAAATCTACTTTTCCTTTAAAACCAATACTTGTTATAGAGACATATCCTGATAATGTATTAGGGTTGTTGTGTTAAAAAGTTTTTATTTTAATTTCAGTCATGTTATAACAATTTATTACTTATATTCTTTAGTCATCAATTGCAAACCATTTAAATTGAAGCATTTCCACATTTCCTGATTTCGGGCAGGCAATATTTACAAAAAATGCTATTCAAAAAATATTTAATTTTTTACATTCATTTTCAATCTATGAAACACAGGCTTGTACTTCATTTTCATCCCTGGTCATATTGAGTTACCAAACATTAAAAATTACTTAAGGTATTCTATCGTATTCTTGAAAAGTAATTGGGTAAGATAAGGAGTTTGATTAATTACACATTCTTGTTTTATTTTCATTGAGAGGATAATCAAAATCATGAAGTAAAGTAACCGTATAAATTTTGTCTATGAAGATTAGAAGAATGATATTTAATAAAAAATACATAATGTTTATTTTATGATCTTATTTCCTTTTATGCTAATAAATTATTCTTACTGATTTATGAATAGTATTATAAATAACAGATATAATTTCAAAAATCAAATAAACAAATGGATTCTATTTATCTTCATCGATTAATCAATTAACTATCAATCCAAAATATCTACTGCTGCTATTGTCTTGATAACAATAAATCATAATAATTTTATTTTAAAGTTTCATGAAAAAGGCTTTTAATGAGATTAATTATCTAGAGAATGCTTTTAAATTTAAGTGATAATTTTAATTTAGAAAATATTTGAACATATCATATCAATTGCTAATAAAAATATCATTCGCAAATTTTCACTTTGTAAGTTTGGTATTTTAAGCAAAGAATCTGTGATGATTGATAAATTATTTGGACTGAGGTATAAATTAATAAAGATGTCAATTTTGATTGCTACAATTATAATCATAGTTTTCTTAGAGATTGTTTGGTTTCTGGTAGTTGTCTATATTGTATATTATTTAGATAGTTTTATTATAAACTCATCTGCGAAGATATATTAATTGTTATTTGGAATTGAGTGAGCATGGTAATCTAATACGATATGACAGACTAAATAGTTACTATTATTTTTATGAAATTACAATATGGGCGATATTGAAGTAAATCAAACATTTTTTATGTACCTAGATTGTAAAATATACTAATAACAGAATATCGCGGTGGGTATTTTCAACTGATTAATAACCAATGTATTCATCTATTGGAGACCCTCTTATTATTGAGGGATTAGAAAAAGGTTCGATGATGGAAATAGTTTGGAGGAGTGGGATGCTCTTCTTTTGCAATATTTAAATTCTGATAAATATGTAAATTAAGAAGGCTCTTTATATTCTCAATAATTTTATCAGATGAAATTAATTAAATGCAAATTTTTGGATTAACTTTTACTTAAGTAGTAAAACTAGATAGAGAATTAAATTTTGAAAAGCTTGTGCTTTTGTTAATTAATTCGATATTTATTAACCGCCTGTTACATTGTAATTATTTCAATCCCCTTGAGCAACCTTAAATATTACATCTCAACTTAGGTTTTGAGCTCATCATTCTATTCTATCAATAAACATTAAGAGATCTAGAATTGAAAATGAATTATTGAAAGTTTACCTTTATTGAAAATTCTTTGTCCTATCCAACGCTATAAAATAACAGACATCTTTCCTTATTTTAATGGTATGAGTATCAAATTTGATTTTGTAAACTGATTAGTTATTATACTCTCTGATCGGCTAGATCTATTATGGTTCCTGCCATGCATCAAGTTATTGCACTATCAGTATCCACCGCATTAAAGAATTTTGGAATATTTACTTAAAGGATTCATCCTAATTATTTATAAAATATTGCCAATTAAATTAATTATCAATAAAGTTAATGGAGGTACTCCTTCAGATCAAATTAGCAACGAAGCATATTAAAAAAATTAATTTTATTTCGTCAATTCAAACATTAGCTTTTTTTCAGTTCTTTATTGAATTTCTTAAATATGAAAATTATAAGGGCTTTGGCTTCGAAATTTCAACTGTATTAATGCTATTGCTGGATTATTTTGTTTGGTTACTTCTATTAATTCTGTATAAATAAAATATTTGAGGAAATGGATATATTTGAATATTGAATCATGAACATAATGTTAGTGTATTTAATTTAAATCCTTTTAATTTTAGGGTGGATTATTTTATATAATGATTATTGTTCTACTAATCAATTATCTAGAAGCATTATCAATTTTACTTTCTATGATGTTATTTTCGTTGAATAACAGAACATTTCAAATTTATAGTTTCGTTATTAGTTAAGATAATTTATCCTGATTCTGAATGGTATGTTTAAGGATAATTTAAAAGAAATCATATAGTATTAATTTGCATAAATTGTTTATATTAATAATACAATTGTCTCTAAAAATTTTAAATGATGGATTCAAATGGAATTAATCCTACTTCTTCACAATTTCCTCATCATTTTGGATTGTCATTATTGAGATCAAAAAAATAACTATTCTTCTGTGCAAAATCATCTAAAAAAAGCTATTAACTTGACCCTGCTTTAAAGAAAGTTCTTATTATTGATATGGAAAATATAAACATAAATTGTAACTTTCAAAGTTTTAAATTCTAGAATTCGCAGAATCTCAGATATGGGGTATAAATTTTTAATTCAAACTGTATTTCATTTTTGTAGAATCTTTCTTTTACAATTAAGATTTATCTCTTAAAAATGCGCTAATTATCAAAATATAGATTATATTTTTGATTGCATTTCAAAACAAGAAATAAACCAGGTATAAATGAAATGATAACTATTTGCATAATTCTTAAAAAATATATAAATCTATGTAAAGAAAAGAATTTCAGAGCATTGTTGATTATTGGTGGATAAATTGCTAATCTCTTTAGATAACCTAAATTTAAACACACTTTTTTAGTTTAGATGAAGTTTATTTGTTTAAACAATTCTTTCGTTCTAAATAGATTTTAGACTCAATTTTTATTTAGTTTTTCATTTTATCTAATTGTAATTGTTTTCTAACAAAATCGAATTGTAATAAGAGTTCTTTTAGATATAGAAAAGTAAATTTGTTGAGCTCATCTGATTATCAGACTTATCTACCGAAAATAAGAATAACAGCTTTAAACCTTATCTCAAATTTTCAAATTATAATTAGATTATGGTCTTAGATATTTTAAGTTTTGGTTTTTAAGAATTTTTTCATTCTGAAGAAAATAGAAATACTATATTTCATTTGATCATCTAGTTTAACTTAGATATCCGCTTAGATTAGTTCTAAGAGGTATGTTCTTAATACACTTTCATTATTGAACAATAAAAATGTATTTTATTTTAAACCACATAACAAAAAAACCAAAATGATTGAAGAATCATATTTCAAAACAAAATATAAATAGGTTAAATGATTAATCTAGCTTATTTGAAGGTCTTTGAAAGAGTAAGGTGTTTCTGCGAATTTTCTAATATGAAATTTGTCTATTAATTAATAAACCAAAATTTCTTACCTTATTTAAACCTAGAAAGGAAAATTTTCATTTGAATAATATATTGCTAATTTAATTTTAGGTTTTGATTATTAGTATTATATAATTGAATCAATAATTAATGCTAACAGTGAGTACCACTCTCATCTCATTGTATCTATATTGCAACTATATTTGAGGAAGTCTTGCTATTCATTTCTCCACTTTAAACAAATCTCTTACTCAAAGGGAATACTACTTCTACATTTGGCACCTTGTATCAAATCAATCTAATTTCTAAGTTATACATCACAAATTCCTACAACGCTTGTATTCTATCCTCATCCTCATGGTTAGTCCATATTCAAGTTTTCCTTTTATATGCCCATTAATCAGATCATTCATTTTCATTCCCTTTATTTGCTCATCTCCAAATAATCTATCTATTTAATGTACTAAATCCAACATAAAAGAGGAATCCCAATCCTGCCACATCCCTCTCCTTCAAAATTTATTACCATCACTTCATTTTAACCCTCCTAGTTCTAACTTTCTCCTCTTTATAATCTTTCTATGTATTCAGCAAGCCTTTCTTATTTCTTTAAGCATGGTATTCTCTCTCTTTCCTAAATATCATCATCCCTGCCTTAGATAGCTTTCCTCTGTATAACCTTCGAATCTCATAATAGCATTTCACAAAAGATTAATTATGAGTCTTTAAAGGTGGGACATGGATTCGTAGATCTTAAATTATCTAGATTTCGAAAATGAAATAGGAGCCCTATTTTACTATCTACTATGGAACCTAACTTCACCCTAACCTGGTAGCGCAATTCTATCACTCATCTCTGGTCACCACTTTAGATCTCCATTCTTCTTATTGGGATTATTAGATTTCCTCTAATATACCTCCTAAGAAATCTTTCACTCTTTATTTATCCATGCCTTTAACCTTCCACCCCATTTTTCTAACACATGAGTTGCCGATTGGTTTGATGATTTTAGTTCTTATTATACTTCTGAAATTGATATCGAACTTTCTTTCTCCCCATCCTATTATTCTACCTTATTCATTCCTTATTACCCCTTGTGTTTTTCAATATATTTCTTTCTATTAATTCTATTTATCTCTAACCTAATCCTCATTTCTATATACATTTTAAGGCCTCAAATTTAATTCATATTCATTAATATCTTGTGTTAAAGGCTTTCATCAAAATTCATTAAAAGATAGGTGAAGTCATTATCCTTTAGGCCATAGATATTATAATTTTTTGTCCTTTTAATTTAAAAACCAATACTTTGATTCCAAATTAAGGGGAAAGGAATATTTTTTTTTTTTCTGACGGTTTGAACAGAGCTTAAAAGATTATGAAACTTGAAAGCATCTTACCTCACTAATTAGTTTCTTAGCCTTAAATTAGTTTATGAATTTAAATCGATGAATATTTAGTAAATAATAAAAGAATTTAGACTGCTCATCATTTTTTTTTCAAGGTGATCTACATTATTTTCAAAAATAGAATAGGAACAATAAAGTTTGAGATTTACACAATTGATTTAACAGTAAATTTGATTCAAAGCGAAGTTTTATATATATTTGTATAAAATTTTAGGATATCGATCATTGCTATTCATCATCTGAACGAGTTCTTTTTTAAAGTTAATTTGGAACTATTCGGCAACATACATCTATTGTTAATAGTACTAATTTAATGCACTCATTTAAAAATAAAAAATGATAGTTATTTAAAGAAGTACTGTATTAATTACATTTGCAAAATTATCATCCCTATAGAGATGTAGGATGAAAGAGATGATAAAAATTAATTTGACTCTAATTAAAATTTAAGTAAATGGGATTTTAGATTATAATCTTTTTAAAACAATCCAAGTGATGAACTCAAAGATTCTTTGAACAAATTAAAATAAAATCTACTTTAATTTGCTTCTTACTTTTCTTGTTTAAAATATCTAAATATTAATCAAAATACTATTTATTTTTAAACTTGTTTTCTCTAATATAATTCTGTGTAAATTAAGACAAATATATGTTTAGAGTTCATAAAATTAGGATTGATTATATATTAAAAGTTAGATGATAGAATATATTAAAATACATAATACTATATATAATTCAAAATTTTAATTGACTTAATGAAATTTTTTTAATTCTTATTCTAAAATATTGATAGGCTCTAAAATTGAGGAGGAGAGTACTTAAATTCAACAATTCTTTGCTAACATTCTTGTCTATAAATTGTGATTAGGGCATTGTTGATATTAGATTAGACTACCTTAATTTAAATCATAAATTAATTCTTATATGTAGAGAGATATGATAACATGTCTCTAATTAAAAAAAATCTTCAACACCTTTATAATCTTTTTTAATACAATATAGAAGGACATTTTTGGATTTCTATTAAATACTTTTGAAATTAATTGAAAATAGTATTATTATTGTAAATGAATAAATTATTGATTACGAGTTTCGCAAAGAGTGTCAAGGGATAGTTTGGGATTATATTTATAAACCACCAAGAAAATAAAAACAAAATTTTAAATTCTTTAAATAAATGAAAAAGTGATTTGATACATATTGGAAGGAAATTGTTTGAGGATGTTTGTGCATTTTTTTAAAATTAGTGACAAACATGTTGGCTAATCAAAAAAGCCTTATCTTCTGACCTGTTTAGAATATATAAAATAATTTGTAATGAATTGGATAATATGAATAACATAATTTAAAATCTGGTAAATGGATAACTAGAGGGAATAGTGAGACTTTAGAAAATGTTGAAGAGAATACTCTAATATTAAATATTATTATTTTTAAGTGGTGATGGATTATATGCTGAAGGAGGCTAGCTTAATGAAGAAGGACTGAATAAAGTGATGGGTTTTATGTTGATTCTTAAGTAATTTATGATGGTGAATATAAAAATTGTGTTAAAATTGGTCGATGGAATATTTCTTATAAGGATAGGAAGTCAAAACAAACTTAATAAATGTAAATAATTTCTAATAATCTTTTATTAGTGGAGGTGGGTGGTATGATGGAGAGGATCAAAATAAATTGGAAAACGGATTGAATTAAGCGATGGCTTATATGATTTATCTCAAATTATTTATAATGGCGAATACAAGAATGGTAAAAATGTTAGCAGATGGGACATTTTATTTAGAGGGTACTTTGATGAGGAATTTAAATAGATGTATTTTGTTGTAAAAGAAAACGTTATAGTGGTGGTGGGTTATATGATGAAGGTGGTTCCTTCAAGATTGGTATATGGATTGAATCAAGTGGTGGATTTTAAACTTGGTCTTAAGTCACTTTTGATGGCGAATATAAAAATGGTGTAAAAGTTGGTAAATGGGGTACATTCTATAAGGATGTGAGTTCAAAAACAAATGAACTGATGTAAGGGTATTATCAAACAATATAGTGGTGAAGGATCATATGATGAAGGGCGTTCACTTAAGGTTGGTAAATGGATTGAATTCAGTGATGGGTTTGCATGGAATTAATAATTCACTCATTAAGGTGTTTATAGAGACAATAAAAAATAGGAAGATGGGATACTTATTTAGAATTCTGAGGAAACCAATAAATGTAAAATTATATATTTAAAATACAATTTGTTTAGCGGCGGTGGATTCTATGATGACGAAGGTTATGGAATTTAAACTGGAAAATCGATAGAGCTTAGTTTAGGGTTTAGGGATGATTCATAAATTACTTTTAAGGGTGAATATAAAAATGGTACAAAAGTTGGAAGATAGGATATTTTTTTTTTGAAAAATTAAATGTAAAGCTATATTCTTAAATATTTTTTTTGCAGGGATTGTGAAGAATATGATGAAAAGGCAATGGATTTATGATTGGAAAATGGATAGAATAAGTAGTGGATTTGTTAGTTGGTCGAAAATCACTGAAAAAAGTGAATACAAAAATGGGAAAAAAAAGCAGACGGCGATACTTTTACTAGAGATAGAAATACCAAAAAGGATTAATTGATGTAAATATCAATAAAAAAGTTCATAATAGTGGTGGCGGATCATATTATCATGGGAGTTAAATTTAGATTGGAGATTGGATTGAGTGATGGGTTTTAATGCGACTCTTAAGTAATATATATGGGTGGATATAAAAATGGTTAAAAGATAGGTAGATGGAATATTCTATTTAGAGGGCAATATTGCGCGATTTTAGATAAATGTAAACTTTAATATAAGTTGATTTATATTGGAGGTGGATTTCTATGACGAAGAATGTATTGGTTAAAAATAGGCAGATGGATTGAGTTATGCAATGAATTTTACCATTATGCATAAATCACTTATAATGGTGAAAACAAAAAGGATAAAAAAGTGGGCAAATGGGAAATTTGTTTAAGGCAAAAGGACAGAGATGAATTCGAAAAAATGTAAATATTCCAATTCTACTTTTTTAAGCGGTGGTGGATATTATGATGATTTGGTAAATGGATGTTCAGTTAAGATTGGTAACTGGATCGAATTGAGTGAAAATTTTGGTGAAGAATCGGGATAATCAAAAATTACTTTCAATGGTGAATAAAGAAATGGGTAAAAAATTGGTAAGTGGATATAAATTGATTTATATTGGAATTAAAATTGCGGTGAATATACTATGAGAATTGAATTATATTACAAATAAACACATGCTAAATATGAACAATTTATTAATATTGATTTTTATATATTTTCATTTTAGTGTCAATATTCTTGGTATCTACTGACTTAAATGCCAATATTTACATTAAAAATTGTTAGAAATCTTTTTGTTTTATATTTTAGAGGATTTCTAATAAATTAAATGAATTATTTACAAATTTGTAATCAATTTAAAGAATATTAAAGAGAAATCGTTTAGAGAAATCAATTATCAAATATTTAAGATAGAAATTTTCTCAACATTAACCTAAAATTAAATTATTAATTTGAACATTTTATACATTTAATGAGCATTAATTATGTCAAAATTACAAATTGTATAATGCTTCCTAAAGAATTTCAATTTAAGCCCAAATGAATTTAGACACTAATTCTAAAAACCTTGACATTTTCATAAAAGATTTAATCAAATCTAAGCCATTGAAAGATGAAATTCTCTTCATATTATAATCCGAACGAATTCTTTATAGATTGAACCTTTTTAATTACCTTATTTCTTTACATCCCTTCAGATTTTGAAGGACATCACTTCACTTAAATTTTTAATATTTCATTCATCTACTTATGTTTGAGTCTCTGCTATTACTCTAGTTATTAGGAATAAATTCATCAACCTTTTAATTAATGTTTGTTTTATGATCGCCTTAGATTTATCTTTAAAGTTTCTAATTCTCCTCCGTTTTTCATTTTACCCTATCTCGTAATCAATTGCTACACTCATGAACACACATGTTATTTATAAGTACATGATTTTCAACACATCTGAAACTTACCATTTACTCAATCTAGAGAATTGTAAAATCGATATGATCATGAAAATTTGCATTCATAGCATCCATCATATGATATTTTCACATAACATTCCTCATCTAAAGTTTACTTTTTCATCCCCACACAAAGATAAATTAGTCTTCATTATTTAACAACATCAAAAAAGGTTTCTAATTTAACTTCACTCTCAAATAAAATTTAGCTCTAATAATCATTAAAGAGATTTGGTTATCCATGCTAACAATTTGTATCCAAAAAGCTTAAATAAATATAAGTAATGTAATTTTTGCTTTGAATTAATTTATTTAAATAATTGGATTTCATGTTAATCTTATAATAATTATAAATTATATAATAGGAGATAAATAATAAAAATTCTATTACCTAAGTGACAAGAACTTAGTAAATTATTCTAAGAATTTCCTTTATTGAAACAATAATTAGCAGTTTTTCAAAAATCTGAAATATGGAGGAATGGGCTCATTAATCAATAAATTTTTAACAGCCAGCTAACTTTGGGGATGGTAGGGATTTTTATTTACTGATAAATATGTTTGAAATCGCTTCAAAAGTTTAAAACAACAACATAAGACTCAAAGTACTTATTGTCTATATTGAATTCTTTTTAAGCAAATTTATATTAAAAGTAATCCATAATTCATAAAGGCACTCAACAAAATTTAAGAATAGCAAGCTTTACCAACTGGTTTGCAGTTATTACAATTTGAAATAATCCCAAAAACACATTTTTATTCTTTTCTGATAAACCAGTAATAATTTCAAAATTAAATCAAACCATCAAGTTTGTCTTGCGAAATTAAATATCTCTAATCTATAATTTAATATTATTATTAAATCCAGCTAATATCTTTGTATTATTATCAGAAAAATTAAATCAGCTTAATAAAGTAAGAGATATTCCAGCAGGAAATCAATTATTAATATCCCATCGATCAGAAAGGGTTAGAAATCAGCTTTCCTTATAATTTTACTTATGTTTCTATATGAAACACCGTTCTTGTGGATTGTATTTGGATCTTCATATGTTTTATTAAAATGATGGAAGCAAGAAGTTTATATCTTAACCTAATCCTCAAATACGACACTTTATTTTTACTGTTTTCAAGTAGAAAATTAAGAGACTAAAGAACATGCCAAATAAATTGAGAGTTTGATTCTTACTACCTCTTAGATGGTGTTTAGTTTATAATGAGAGAACGAGCTTTAAACATTTAATAGATAAACATAAGTGTAACCTTCGAACAAATTAAGAGAGATGATGAAACAAAAGTACAAATTAGGTCTAACAATTTTCCTAACATTTGGAAGGTCTAAATATATGATACTTCTGAGTTTTATGGAGTTTTAATTGAGACATATATTTCCAATTTATATAACTCAAATAAAAGTCTTTCCTAAATTGCATTTAAAAATGATATTATCATAATTGATAAAAGAAATAAATATTATTTGTTCAACACATCATTATTATCTTTCTTTATTTAAATGAATTTGAGTATGTAAGATAATAATTTATTTATAACAACATACTAATTCTATCAAATTTGAAATTTATTCCCTTTATAAAATCAAAAAAATCTGCATTTGTTCAATAACTTCATAAAATTAGCATTATCAAATCTCTGGGAGAGGAACAAGAATACAAAATGGAAATCGGTCAATTTAATCGAAAATTTCTAATGATTAAGTAATTTTTACCGCGAATATTGCAGAGATTTATTGAATACGTATCAAGGCGGGCCTTTGTATCATTAAGCTTTATTAGTTGTTACTTCAAATACAAACTCCGTAATATTAACGATTCTATGAAATATCATATAGTTGAATATATGGATGATAGTAAAGTGTATGCTTATTAAATTAATATAAACTTGAGAAAAAATTCGTATTCTTTGTATAACTTAACAGTATTTCAAGATGAAGAATATATTTGGTAAGTATTGGAGAAAATTTGTGGTAGAGGACGATAATGAGTTTTAGAAAAATGTTTTAAGTTAATTATTAACTTCAAGTTATTTAGATTGAGAATTATATGTAAAGCATTACTTAGACCTGGGAAATTATGATTTAGTTTTAGTAAACTGTTAAACTACAGCAGATTAAAAACTAAACATTTTGGTGTATAATAAGGTGTTTAATAAAGAGGGTATTGGGATAAATAAAATACATCTTTAGTTTGATCTAAAATCTTATAAATTGGGCATTATCGTTGATAGTTTATTTTTTTAAATCATTTACCTTAAAATTTATATTCATTGTTAAAATGCCCCTGAAATTTATTTTTTTTATTGAAAAATTTATAGTCGTATTTTTATGTGGAATTTATAATGACAAAAAAAAATTTTAAACTCTAATTAAATAATTAATAAAGAAAATTTTCAAACTTTAGGTGCTGATGTTTTCTATAGTGGGTATTCTATCATTCAAGACTTATTTTAATATTTGCTCATTGTAAAATTATCATTTGAAAATAACTCCTTTTAAGTAAAGAGTTGTTTACTTTTTATCGTAGAGAACATAAGTTCTATTATTACAAATTCTTTATCAAATTTATGTAAATCTATAATTTTCTAATAAATTCTTCTCATTATGATTCTTCATTTTTGAGGAAAATTTTTTTATAGATAAAATAAAAACATATCTTATGTAAACCAATTTAATATTGAGAAAAAAATTTATTAAATTCACAAATTAGAGATGGTAGTAAATTTAGACGAATAAATTAAAACTGATGACATATATTTATTCACAAAGTGTCTTGGCTAAATTGTTAATAAGGAAAATTTGGCATTACTTAATTAAGTAATGAGATGATATGAAAACCTTAGCCTTAAAATTTGCAAAGGAAGAAAAATTGCTTAGATTAACTAATTTAAAATAATGATAATCGCAAAGAAAATTATTTCATTCAAAAACTAAATCAAGTTAGAACTTGGAAATTGCTTCAATTAATTGATCAATTAACGGAGTAGATCCAACTCGAAATTTAATCAAAGAATCAGAGTTAGGACTAAAAAGTTACAATGAGGAAACATAAGTTGTATCAAAAGACTAAAAAGGATTTTTAATTACAATACACTCAACAAACAAACTTACAAGAAAGAAGACTTAGTTCTTATTTAATTAATTTAGGAATCAATTAAATCTTAGTCTAAATCATGCCATTTTATCTAAATTATGGAACCCATAGATTTATAAAATCTAGTGAACTATTAATCAATAAGCAAATATTAACCTAAAACCTACATTTGGTAATTTATGATAATAAAATTAGAAGACTCCTTGTCTTATTTATATATGAAATAGTTATAAAAAAATCTAATTATACTAAATATTAATTATAACCAACATAAATTTGGTCGATTGGGTTTTGTAGAATGTATTCAAGAAATCTGATCTAATACTTTAGTTTAAAATAGGAGGCTAATAATCTGTGGAAGACCATTTTATCGGACATCAGAAGATTTAATTCTAAAAAATCATACTAGAAAACAATAAAAATTTAAATGGTTATAGATGAAAATAAATAGCATAGACTTGATTAATTATTTTATCAAAAGATTAAATTAAAATTAGAAACCCTTAATCAAGAATGATTTTTTAAAGTAGTAATAGAAGGTAATTTTGTAAGAATAACAAAGTAATTTTGTTAATAGCTTTAGATATTTAATATAGAAAATAATGTTTAATCTGATAATAAAATTTGACCCGAAATAAATGAATTTATGGCTAAATGTTAACTTTAGGAGATACTTAAAAATATTTACTGAATCTCTAAATCACCTTATTACCATATCATACATGTTTCATCCAGCACTAATTTTTTTTCGTTTGGAAGTATTATAGCCAAACATATCATATTTTATTTTAACAAGCATGCATAAGATTAATTATTATGCTTTACTGGATTCAATTTTATAACGCATTAGTATCGTTCTTCCACAAAAAAGTATTCTACTTTTCTATGAGAACTTCAATTTAGTAGTTCAAATTTAATTATCATCGCACCACACGCAACTGTAGATGGATGCCTCCACTCATCCTTAGTGCTTTAAATTTCCTTTGAAATAAGTGTTACCCTGAATCTTCTAATGAAATATAGTACTAACAAAGTTCTGCATTTTGTATGTTTGTACAATAATCACTTTTTTTATCAAAGCACTTAAGAAGCTACTTGTGCCACCTCATAATTTTTATGTCCATTTTGCATCACATTGGACTCAAGTTGTTATTTGCTGGCATAAGCACTCAATAAATTGTCTTGGATTTTTAAATATTTTTTAATCCAATCTGACGCATCTATTTCCTATAAGTGTCATTTTTCTCATAAAAAATTATCTAAAAAGTGACAATTACTTGCTCATCCTTTGATTTATCCATAATAATTCAAATGTATGAGTGTACATCATAAAATAATCAATATTAAAACAAACCATTTACATATGAAAGAAGAAAGGAAAGAAGCATTTATCAAGTTAAAAGTATAAGGTAAATATTTAGTACGAATACG